AATAGGGGAAATCCCCTAGCCCTCTTTTAATTTTTTTCCTTTTCTCCATTTTCTCATTCCCCAGCCCTTAGGCAATCCCGTCATACTAACAGTGTGAAGCAGAGAAACTGCACGATCACATTGATTGACGCAGAGGCAGCCGCTGACAAAATTCTCAGCAAACTAGGGATAGAAGGGAGCTTCTTCAACCTGAAAAAGGACATCTATAAAAATACCTACAGCTAATATCATACTATACGATATCGGCTAATATCATACATTTAATGAAAAGTTAAATGCTTTCCCTTTAAGATTGAGAACAAGGTGAGGATTTCTACTCTCACTACTTTTGTTCAGCATCATTTGCGAGAAGTTACAGCCAGTGCAAAAAAAACAAACAAACATAGTGTATAGGAAAGAAATAAAACAACAAAACACTGCTGAAAATGTACATTAAAGACCTACCTAAATGAGAGACATACAGTGTTCATGAATTGGAAGACTCTTCACAGTAAAAATGTCAATTCTCCCCAATTGATCTACACAGGTAATGCAATTCAAAAAAATCCCAGCAGGATTCTTGGGAGATATAGACAAGCTGATTTTAAAAGTTGTATGGAAAGGCAAAGAAACTAAAGTAGCTAACACAAATTTGAAAAATATGAATAAAGTTGGAAGAATCACACCACCCAATTTTAGGACCTACTATAAAGCTACTGTAATCAAGACTGTGTGGTATTGGTAAAGAGACAGACACATACATCAATGCAATGGAAGAGAGACTCTAGAAATAGACCTACACAAATAGGGCCAATTGATTTTTGACAAAGGTGCAAAAGAAATTCAATGGAGAAAGGATAGTCTTTTCAACAAATGGTGTTGAAACAACTGGAAAGCAATAGGAAAAAAAAAAAAACACATTAACTTAAACCTCACATCTTATACAAACTTAGCTCAAAATAGACCATCGATCTAAATGTAGACTAAAAAACTTTAAAGAAAAAAACACAGGAGAAAATTTCCATTACCTAGAATTAGATAAAATGTTTTCATATATGGCATGAAAATCATAATCTTACATAAGAGAAAAAAAATTTTAAATTAGATTTCATCAAAATTAAAAACTTTTGCATGTTAAGAGAATGAAGCTCCTGGCTGGTTAGCTCAATTGGTAGAGTATGGTGCTGATAACACCAAGGTCAGTTCAGATCCCTGTAATAGATAGCTGACCAAAAAAAGGAGAAAGAATGGAGACAAGCTACAGACTGGGAGAAAATATTGCAAATTATATCTCTGACAAAGGATTTGAATCCAGAAAAATATAAAGACCTTAAAAACTCAATAGTGAGAAAACAACCCAATTAAAAAGTGGGCAGAGGACTGGAACAGAGACAGTAAATAAACACAAAGATATCTGACATTAGTAGCCATTAGGAAAATGCAATGAAGTGCCATTATAT